CTGCTCTAGTTGCAGATCGGGGACAGCGAGTACACCATAATGACAAGATTACGGGGACAGAAAAACATAAAAGAAGGAGCAGACAATATTCAAGGACCCCTACACTATCAGCAAAGACCAAGCGTGTCAACGTCCTTTCTAATTTAGTTTTAGTAGAGCTTTTACGCCTCTCGCAACTGCATAAGGCCATATGAGCGCCATAAGATTAGAGGTGTTACAAGAGAGTAACAAACATAAAAAAGAAGAAGGGGAGATCAGGACGATTAGATAGATGTTTAACAGGAAAGAAGGAGCAAACCATACCAGAGCACCCGCCAAACACCCACGAAGGAGCAGACAATATTCAAGAACCCCTACACTATCAGCACAGACCATGCCTGTCAACATCCTTTTTCCCACACTGCCAACAAGACACTATATATAATAAACCCACAAGACAAACATAACTTTAGCTACGTGAGAGTTTTACGACACTTGCAACACAAAAAGGGCATATAAGTGCCGAAGAATAGATGTGTAACAGCAGAGTAAGATACACAACATAGAAGGAGGAGCGATAAGGACGATAGAAGTTTGATAGGAAAGAAGGAGCAAGCCCCACCAGAGCACCCGCCAACCACCCACATACAATAACAAAATTCACATACAATAACAAGAACAGAAAAAAAAAACGACCACAATGACCTCCTCAAAAGAACGGAAGCCAAAGCAAATTTTTCCAAAACAATACATTAGAGCTTACATAAAAACATGGTAAATTGTTTAATCGTACGTTACCTATTATTTTCCTTAGCAGCAGGTGGCATCAAAGTTTGTGCGGGTCTATATCCACCAGCAAGTGTAGCGAGAATTCACACTGCTACTCCGATTCGGCACTTTGCTCCAACTCCCTAGTCCAAGAAAGAAAAAAATATACGAGGTTGAGCTTAATCTCCTTGTCTCTCTGTGCAAACAAAACGTTGTCCAATCATGCAGGGCAAACGCAGTGCAGTGCGCACCATTACAAAAATGTCAACGCGAAGTTCTTATTTAGAAGTACACTGAGCGAGGAGCGTAGGTGAATCTCATTTCCTGCAGTATTTGCACAATCCACAAATAGCTCTCTCCTCCTCTCCTTTGGGTGCACGCTAAAAACGCACAGGGGTGCAGGGTAACTACTACGAAAGAAGAGAAGAAAAAAAAGGGGGGAGCGAAAAATTAT